TTATTATTATTATTGTTATTATTGCTGATTGTTGATGTGCTTGTATTGTTTTTGAGTTTTTTTTAAGTTCTACTTTATTTTGTTAAATAGTAATTATACATACATACATACATACATACATACATACGGATGGATGTTTTGACTTGGATCGGTGGAGGCTATTGGAGGCTTAGACTTATCTTGGAAGCTGAGGAGACCCAGTGAGCTGGTTTAGTTGAGGAGGAAAGCAGGCGATAAAGAGGAGGAGATTGGAACAATTTTCACTGATTATCATTATCAGTGTTATTATTGTTATCATTATAATTACTATTACTGTTACTGGATAAGGGTAGGGTGTTATTCATAGAACTGAACAACGGTGAGCAGCGCGGAATTTTAGAGACCTCTACCGAAAGTGCCCGTACCACCAATAGAACACACGCTGGCCAGATATTTGGAGTACGCTCGGGTGGTGGCCGATGGCGATAATGCAGCGATAACACGAACTGAAGAGGCCGTGACGAGATTTCTCAAAATTGGGATTGAACTACAAAAGAAGCTGGAAAAAATTGCTGAACGAGATGACAATTGGGTACGATAGAATATAGTTTATTGAATTGTATTAGCTAGAATGAATAATGCAGCTTGTTTCATAATAGTAATGNACGATAGAATATAGTTTATTGAATTGTATTAGCTAGAATGAATAATGCAGCTTGTTTCATAATAGTAATGCATGCAACGAGTCAACTTTGAATCAACTTTAAGGTGAATCGATATTGGCTACCTGAGATGTATCTGAAGATACGATTGCCCTTACCGATGTACTCGAGTCCAGTTTATGTATTTCCACGGCAAACCTTCAACAATTTAAATGAACAGCTCAAGTGAGCAGTAATTAATTAATTAATTATGCGATTTAACGAATGGAATTTTGTAAAATGTGTTGTGTGGTGAATGTATCATTATTTGTTTTGAGTATAATCTACGATGAATCTGTAGTTAATGTAATTTGTAATAGATTATATATGTAATAGATGATTAATTAATGTAATGATTAATTAATGTAATAGATGATTAATTAATGTAATGATTAATTAATGTAATAGATGATTAATTAATGATTAATCGTTACTGTAATAGATTAATTTGTAATAGATATGATATGATAGTAAGAGATGAATCAATTTTCAGCTATACAGCATGGTTGGTTCGTGGTATTGCCGAATATAAAGATCTTATCGATAGGTAGGTAGTAAGATGAGTAGATTTTAAATTTTGAATTTTAAATTTAAACTTTATTTTAATACTATCGATGTAATCACATCAATCGATCGGCATAGTTGCCTGCGATAGTTGAATGTTCGATAATATTAACACTGGTCTATGGGTGCTTGCTTGATAAGTGCGGATGGATGAAATCAGGAGAATTTATGCGAGCGATCGATCGATCGATCGATTCGGTTTATGCGATCGATCAATCGATCGATTCGGTTTATGCGATCGATCAATCGATCGATTCGGTTTATGCGATCGATCAATCAATCGATCGATTCGGTTTATGCGATCGATCAATCGATCGATTCAGTACCTAATGAGTATTAATTGTATGAAGACGACTGGTGGAACGTGAGATGTCAACTGGAATGAATAAGGTTCGAATGTGTATGTGGCAATACGATCGTGTTCTGGGATGCTATCGTGAGCCTGGTTCACCCGTTGACATACAACACTTCAAGAAGGTGCCGCCACCTACAGCCAATCCGAACTGGAATGAGCATGTGCTCGTGATGTGCAATAATCAAGTAATGCCTTCGTTCGTTGCGTTCTCGAATGATGCATTGTTTTTTTTTGAGCGAGCGATTTCATTTCATAATCAAACACGAAATATTGCTCTGGTTCTGGCTAGTCTGAACAGACAGCAACGACTTGACGGGCAGGGCAGCTTGTGAATGAATAATTTTTCAATATTTTCGCGAATTTTTTATATTAGGTCACCACCAGCAGCAGCAGCAGAAAGTTGCCGACAAGCAGTTAGAGGCAAACCGCATTTCAACGTTTCATAACTCATAGTGAGTGCGATGGAAAATTTTAGTCAAAATTTTTATTGAAACTGAAAATACCAACCGAGCGTTCGCCTCTAGATAGACGAGAGTGTTGCCGCCGAAGTTGCCGGGCCACCATAAGTAGGCCTCTAGTTAAGAGGTTGGCTACTTATGCTGTTTAGTCCATGCACCCGTACGCAACATGACGCGTGCATGCGTGTAGCCACGCCCACTGGGTGCTAGTGCATGGCCGAAGTGAGCGTAACAGAATGGGCGTGGCCTAAGCGCGTATGACAACGTGCGGCGGTGTTGTTGAAAGCGCACACGATAACGCACGCTTGTCTTCTGCAGCGTGCGGGTGGAGGCACTAAACAGCATGAGTGCCTGAGGTTGGTTAGCTGTTAGCTGAATGCTGTGATATTAAGGCATTCATAATGAGCATTCGTGTCGATGGCGAGCTGCTTGCCCAGCCGGATATTCGGAAACAACTCGACGAGATTGTGCGAATGAGTGAGAATCGACCCGGTGGTACGGTAATACCGATTGGTGCCGCCACAGTGGGCTATCGTGATGATGCGGCCAAATTTTGGTCGATAATGAAAGAAGGTCGGTAGGTGCTCAGTCAGTTGCGAGTTAATTGTTGCTACTGTTGTTTGTTATGCATCGTTATCGGTTCGCTATCTTGAGAGCAGCAGCCAGCTTAATTAAGCCAATTTGAAGGCAATTAATTGATGATCATTTTGCTTGATGATCAACCATTAATTTGAGATCTCAAAAGGAAACTGCAAAAAAAGTTTTGATATGATCAAAATCGCTGGAGAAATTATCAGTAAGTGGTGATATCAGATCAATCAGTAATATGATAAAAAGAGAATCAATCGATGTGAACTGGAATAAGCGAATGCTAGATATATTGTGTCGAATGGTGACGACCGACGGGTGAGACGATGCGATGGCTGCATATTTGTGATTATCAACGAAATATGGATGGATAGATAGCTGTATGAGAGAGCATGATGAGACGTAATTGCAAATGAATTAAATGAAGAAGAAATTGATTGTAGCGAAATTTTAGCTACTATTCTATGATTTGGGTTGATCAATAAAATAAAAATTTGAGTACCGCAAAACGAAGAGACTCTTGCGTTGATCCGATCGGCAGCATTCGGTGTGTGTATCGATCGTGATCAGCAATCACCGAAACCAACTGAACAGCAACCAGAAGAAGAAGAAGAAGAAGGAGGAGGCAAATCCTGGTATGCTGATAAGAATAATGAGATGAGCTACGCACTAGCTGGACAACATCTATTGCATGGGTTCGGTAGTAGCCGAGCTGGCCTGAATCGATGGTACGATACAACCATACAGGTGATTGGATTAATAATAATAATGATAATAATAATAATAATAATAATAATAATAATACGGGTGTCACAAATAATTTCGAAACGACTCGAGTAAGTGATTGATCGTCTACAGCCAAAATGGATGCAAAGCGATCTAGCTGAACGATAGAATTCGACGAGGCAAAACTCAGTGAGAGTTTTAGACGGAATACGAATGGCTCACCTTGTTTATTGTTAATTAATTAGCAACTGCCTATAATATAATGTGAACGCCGAACCTTTGAATGCTCTCTAATTAGAAAGCAAGAAAATTGGTGTGATTTGATTTAAATGGTGACGCGATTTGTCATTCGCAACTCAGAAGGCTGTCAGCTATGGATGTCAGATATTTACTTAGACAGATATCCTTCAGATACTATATCTCAGATATCCTTCAGATACTATATCTCAGATATCCTTCAGATACTATATCTCAGATATCCTTCAGATACTATATCTCAGATATCCTTTACTTCGTTTGCTTTACGCCTTCGTTTCATTCTTGAACATTGGACACACGCTAACGCACACAACCGTATAGATTCAATCGCATCTCAATCGCGCATATACAAGCAAACATATTAGCAGATGAATAGCAAAGGATACGTTAGGGTAATGAGGACAAGGCATGTTAGCTGAGTTCGAAGTCTGAAAATTTTCGAAAAAATTTTTTTCGAGATAACTGCATGGGAATGAAGATCTTACCTAGTACTATCTACAGTTTAAATATGAGTGCTGGATCTCAAGCGGCTGCTTAGATATGGCCAAAAATATTTTCGAAAATTTTCAAAATTTGCACCACGTAGGGGGGGTCATGGATTTTTTCGGATTTGGCTTTGAGCTCGAACCCATGCAGTGACTGGTTACAAATGAAGATAAGGCCCAGTAGTATGCGCAGTTAAAAGGACGAGTCTCCTATTTTTTTAAACGTTCGATGTAAAAATATTTCGAAGTAACTGTTTTCTGTGTTAGGTGATCGTTTCAAGCAATGGCATCAACGGTCTTCTGATCGAACATTCGGTTGTTGAGGGTATTGTGATTATTAATATGGGCGAATATGCTTTACGATTGGTGGAGAAATTTGCGAATTCCAGCCAAACGGTTCGTTGTTGTTGATTCATTAAGGCTGATGGTTCAATTTCGTCTTGTTTAAATGCGGTGATCCGGTTGATTGATTGATCAGATCTTCGCAGATCAGACATCTTATTTCAGAGCCAAGCAGCAGCTAGTGCCAATCGGGTGTCAGTAACACCAAAAGCGCTCACCTGGTATGTTAGTCCATCAGCGAAAATGATTCTGCGTAAAGAAATCGAGGTGTTCGATAGGTAAGTAGTGTTACAGACTGATCATTAACTCGGATCAGTGATCAAGAGAATCAGTTTAAATTGCTTCAATCAGTAAATTCAGTTTGGTTTCGATTACAGATTAGCGAAAAATTTGGAGTTGAGGGTGTTGGAGTTTAAAGATTTCGGTAAGAATTTCATCAAATCATGTGCAATCAGTCCCGATGGCTTTGTACAACTCTCCATGCAACTTGCTTACTACCGGTTCGATGCATTTTCTTGTTCAAATGTCTGTCTGATTTTCTTATGATAATATTTCATTGATTGATCAATAACTGTCAATATTGATTGATCAGCAACTGTCAATATTGATTGATCAATAACCGTCAATATTGGTTGATCAATAACTAGTAATTATTACAGATTACACGGACGTTTAGTGTCAACGTATGAGAGTGCGTCGATACGTCGATTTCTTCAGGGACGTGTGGATAATATTCGTGCGGCAACACCTGAAGCATTGCTGTGGGTGGAGACGATGATGAGTAGACGCAAGTCATTGGTGATTAATTAATTAATTAATTCAGTTTTTAATTAATTAATTATTTTGCTTAAATCTGTTTTGTTAGGTAAGCAATTTTTGTGGGTGGCAGCGTATTTTTGTGAAAAATTTTCCGGTAGATTTGAAGATTGGCTTGGTCTATTTCAACCGGGTGAATTAATTTAATGATGTTTATTAATTTTAATGATTTTAATTAATTTAATGTTAATAATAATGATGAAAATAATTAATTTAATGATGTTTACTGATTTTAATGATTTGGTAATGATAATTAATTTAATGTTAATTATAATAATGATGATAATAATTAACTTAATGATGTATATCTTCATCAATCGACTGCTTATTAATTATCTGAATAAAGTTTGCTCCTCTTAAATTTGCAGGCACTCAAACGAAAATTATTCGAAGAAGCCGCCAAAAAGCAGGCGCTTATGACTGTCGAGGTAGGTAGTGCCAAAGGTGTGGCAAAATGCCACACAGAATTTTTTGAATTTTTAAAATTTTTAAAATTTTACTAAAGTCAAGCAGGCATGCCGCTCATTCATTTCAGCAAATCATTATTATGTTGAATGCGTCGTTGTAGTCGTCTAAAAAATGTGATCATTTAAGAATATCAGTGGTTTTGGAATAGACAATCATCTGTGTGCACTCTACGTTCTGGCTAGCGAACAAGTCAGGCAAGGCAAGCTGCCTCGTCTACCGGATATTTTTACGGATCCGGTATGGACGGAAACGTTGCGCTTTCCGCTCTCAACCAGTCAAGTCAGTAGTAGTCGATTTGCCTGCCGTTCTGCAGTTTTTTTTTGTCATATTTAAAAGTTTCAGTGAATTTGTTAGTTTCAAAAAATTTCCGCATTCAAATTTTGCTGCTCTGCTCACAACGCCAAAAACTGGTGAGTGGGTGTCTCAAAATGCCAAATTTCCAGATATATTTTTTTCCAAAAAATTTTTCACAGCCAATGGTACCACATTTCTATTTCAGGTGACCACCACCGTCAAGAACACCTACCTGTGCTATGGGCCAGTTGTAGACGACGGTTACGGTTGTTCGTATAACATTCAAGCGGACTCGATCATCTACGCCCCATCAGCCTATCGCAGCTGTAAAAGTACGGATGTGGATAAATTTAAGGGTGCTCTTGTCGAGTCATTACGCGATATGAAAATGCTTGTCACTGGATTGAACCAGTAGTCAATAATGATCTCTTAGCAGTCAGCCGATCACTCCAATCACTATTCTTCGAATGAGTATCCATCCCGATTCCGGACCAAAAAAATCAACTTACAAATAATTCTTCATCTGATTTCTCCTCATACATCGTCATTTTATCATGCATCTGTCATGTGATCATCATCATGTATTTGGGCAATTCTCCGTCTCATCAGATTCTCTGATGTTTTTTTCTTTTAAAGAACAGCCCAACCATTCTATGAATTCACATCACTAAACTTGATAATAATACCTGATTACCTGATCTATTAATAATGTTAATCCTTCTAATTAATATTCTCTAATGAATAAATTTGTAACTATGCATTTTCGCTGTTTTCATGTAAGATAGCTGCTGTATTAGGTGTTATTTCTGTTGATATTATTATTGTTATTATAAATGTCGTGTGTAAATTATACATAGAGTTCGTTTACAGCTATATATATATATAATAATAATTGTATTTATATACGTAAATATTATTTATTCATTTATTTATTGATAGTGATTTGTATTGATTTGTAGGTGTAGAAAGAAATTGGGCAGTGACGAACAAGCTAGTGTAGAAGCGGTGTGGTGTTTTAAACAGAATTTTAGTCGAATTTAATTTTTTCGATATTAGTCAGAAATTTTTTTCGATATTAGTTGTTAGAAGTGGTCGTTAGCAGATTGTAACGGTAGTAATTGAATTGTTTTGTTTTGATAGTTGGTTGCACTTAGTGATTGTATTGTGGTTGATGGATTGTTTAATTTGAAAAATTAAAAAATAAAATTTATTCGTAGAATCTATCTGGTGTGTATGTTTCTCTTCTGATCAGCAAAAACACCGTGCCTGCTGTGATATCACAGGCATGCTCGTCAAAAGGCAACCGTAGTGTTCTTGAAGCTTTAAAAGTAACGTTTAAAAGTAATAAGGTAACGTTTAAAAGTACAAAGTATTCGACAACAATGAATCTAACAAGCAGGTAATTTGGCAGGTATGATACATGAAGGATCATGCAAAATAGATTATGTGATCATACATACATGTATACGTTACGAAAGTCTATAATTTCAATACAGTCATGAATAAGGTAAAGTGCATGGATTTTAGACTAAAGAATTAATTCATGATGATCTGATCGTCTGATCATCTGATCTGATCGTGAAGAAGATAATTCACAATTCACATGTGAACACGTGTGAAATGGCTGGAATAAGAAGGGCACTGAAACGTTATCTATTTATCTATGGGTGTCACATGCACCGATAGCAGTCGACCGTGTAAAAATTAGCATTTGCTGCTCTAGACCACTACTAGACTCTCAGCTATGCTCTAGACAGACGACATGGCGGCTGCCTGGCTATTAGGTGTGTGCTGGTGGTTGGTGCGCTAGGTAGGTAGGTAGGTAGGTAGATTGTTTGGTGCGGTGGTCATCGTCGTCGTAGATTCATTTTGGTGGAATCGACGAATAAATTCATTGAAACCCCTTGAGGCACTAGTACATTCTCATAGAGCAGATTCACACCAACTTTCAATTATTTATTCACAAGCATTTGGCTTTTTTCTCATCATCATCATCATCAACTACTACTGAATCGTTTATGCTGCTGCTGCTGCTGCTGCTCTAACAACTACTACTACACTACTGCATTCAGTTGAGCTTAGGCTTAGGCTTAGGCTTAATTTTATGGTTGAACTTTATATTCACTCATTTACATGCAACCAATTTCCAACGGAAACTTACCACGAACCAACCAAGCACTCACTCACTACTATTATGGGAACAATACACGCATAATCTCAGCAAAATATAATAGAAACAAGCAAAAATATTCATTCGTCCATTTCTACTGTTTCTTTGTTGTTACTATTACTATTACTACTATTACTATTACTACTACTACTATTACTATTACTAGTATTACTATTACTAGTATTGTTGGATACGTTCAATACTAGTAAAAACTTACTTTTTTTGACTGCTGCTTCACAGTGAGTGATCATTTTCGCGGACTAGTAACTTCTTTGCACGTTTGACCACACAAACTCAGCAAATTATTCATGCATGCAGCAATTTTCTGTAAACGATTGTGAATATTATGGCTTAGACTTAAGAAATCGCTCGCTAGCTCTTTGACTTGCTACTTTTATTACCGAGATTAGCAGTCAGCTGCTTGTTGTGCTTGTGTTAGTTAATTCATTGGTTTCGTATTACATTTGTTAGTAATGTAAACCTGCCGGCTTGCCATCCAACTAACACATTTATATACATCTGTACATCCAGAAATACATTGACATTTACCAATGTACTTAAGTTAACCTCAGTGTGTGGGTTTTTAACCCAAAAAACCCGGATAAAGCACTGTATGTGTAGCAGTACAGGTTAAAATATACCATATATAGTGCTGGTGCAGCTGCTGGTGCTGCTACCCCCTCCCCGTACTCCATATGAGGTGAAGGAAACGTTTACAAGAAGCAGTTGAAACTGGCAACTAACTATTTATGTTAACTTCTTGAGTAGAAGATCAAATAACAGTCGTTGATCGGCGGTCAATCTCATGATCGATCAGTAGATTGTTGGCGAACAGAGAGAGATGACTGCCACGAAAACATTAACAAATAACAAGCAAGCAAATGTGGTGGTCGTCGTCGTCTTGATTGAATACTGATCAAATTTCATTTGATCACTTGATAGGCAATCACCAGTCAAATATATCGTACTTCATTGTAAACCTATCACACAGCAACAGCAGCAGGTTAAATGATAGTGATCAGAAGATAAAGTTGGTTGAGTTTGCTGTTGCTACAGCTACAGCTAGAAGAGTTGATGGATACTCTGGTTATCTTAACGAGGTTTCTTTTAATAGTAGATGCAAGCCAGATTATTATTATAGCCTGCTACTACTGCCGCTACCTGGATTACCTGGGAATCCAGGTAATCCAGGTAATCCAGGCTACTACTGCTGCTGGCTCAGGCTCATAACATTATGGATATTGGTTGCATGGTAGACACAGCTTCCGATTTCGGGCCAAATATTGCTATTGGCCGAAAAAAACCACCTCAATGATACCAAGGTAGATCGCCGCTCGATTTCAATGGTCTACCACACTATCACTGAGGTGTTTTTGCTGTTATTGGCTGTATTGGTTCAAATAAATAAATAAATTCCTTCTGACTTCCAATTGGCCGCTATCATTCTGATATGATAGTATCTGATTAGATGTTTAATTAACCAACAACAGATGAATAATCCAACCCAGCTAATTAGTAATTTTCTATAGAAAATGCACAAACACCAGATTTGTATGTTAAGGAATGTGTAGACGACACACGAATGTGAATATATATAAATGTATACGTATGTATGAATGAGTATGTATGTTTTTATGTGGACAAGATGTGTGTGTGTGTGTATTACATAATAATCGTAATCATTTATATCATCAATTCATCTATATTTCTTACACATACATCCCATATATCCAGCCATCCATCCATCCATC